CTTCACAGGCACCAGGTACATGTGGACTTGTAAGCAAAACAAACATATAAAATAAAAATTAACTTTTAAATATTTATTTCAGTTTCTTGAGACAGGGTCTCTTGTAGCCTTGGCTATCCTAGAACTCACCATGTAGACCAGCTGACCTCAAATTCATAGAGATCTACCTGCCTCTACCTCCTGAGTGCTGGGGTTAAAGCTGTGCAAAAATTTACCTTTTTAAAAATTAAAAAAACAAACAACAAAAAATGTAAAACCTAATCAAGCATAGCTGTGCACACCTGCTTGCCTTTAATCCTAGCTCTTGGGAGGCAGAGGCAAGAGGATCTCTGTGAATTAAGAGGCCAGTCTGGTCTACCTAGTGAGTTCCAGGAGAGTCAGGAACTTAAAAACTTTTTTAATGACAAAAAAAACCTATCATATGCCAAGGTTATAAAAATCTATGGTAAATTATTGTTATTAACCCGTAAAATACCTAATTTATAAATTAAACTTTATCATGGATGTGTATATGGGGGAAAACATAGTGTAAGGGGGGGTTGTACTATGCAGTTTGAGACATCTGCTGGGTCTTAGTCCCCAGCAGATGAGGGGACTCCCAAATTCTTGTTATTTCTGCTGCACTGATGTTTATCAGGGGTAGTACTATTCACACCACATCCCCTTCTGGAGTCTGAGGAAATCCGTTAGGATTAGGTTGTGAAGACTCACGTTACAGACTGTTTCCTCAGAGTGGGGACTTTCCTTGGGGAAGATGGACCATGGAGGAAGAGTTGGTTAGCTGTTGTTACTGTGTGTGTGTGTGTGTAGTGTGTAGTGTGTGTATGTGTGTAGCATGTGGTGTGTATATGTGTATGTGTGTGTAGTGTGGTGCATGTGTACTTACTGTGTGTGTGTAGTGTGATATATGTGTAGTGTGTATGTGTGTGTATGTGTAGTGTGGTGCATGTGTACTGTGTGTGTGTAGTGTGATGTATGTGTAGTAGGGGATGGCCACGCCCTATTTTTTATATGGATGCTAGGGACTTGAACATAGCAGATACTCTTATCCACTGAGCCATCTCCTCAGCTCTGCTGTTGTTACTTTTAATCCAGTCTTCATTCACAGCTCTAAAGCTTGGCTTAAGTGTGAGTAACCCATAAGATTTTTAGTTCTTTATTTATTTATTTATTTATTGGCTTTCAGCTCGGAGGATACTGCAGCTTAACTTTCTTCAGTCGTCCCGAATCCGGGTTCATCAGACACCAGCTGCCTCCACCACGCCGCCCACGATCGACCCCAACGAGATCAAAGTCATGTACTTGAGGTGCACCAGAGGTGAGGTCAGTGCCACATCTGCCTTGGCCCCCAAGATCGGTTCCCTGGGTCCGTCCCCAAAGAAAGTTGCTGACGACATTGTGAAGGTGACCGGTGACTGGAAAGGCCTGAGGATCATCACAGTGAAGCTGACCATCCAGAGCAGACAGGCCCAGACTGAGGTGGTGCCCTCTGCCTCTGCCTCTGCCCTCTGCCTCGGCCCTGATCATTAAAGCCCTCAAGGAGTCACCAAGAGACAGAAAGAAGCAGAAGTACATTGAACACAGTGGAAATATCACTTTCGATGAGATTGTCAGCACTGCCCGGCAGAAGTGACACCAGTCTTTAGCCAGAGAACTTTCTGGAACTATTAAACAGATCCTGGGTACTGCACAGTCTGTGGGCTGCAATGTGGATGGCCGCCACCCTCATGACATCATTGATAACATCAACAGTGGTGTAGTGGAATGCCCAGTTAGTTAAGAAGCAAAAGACGTGATTAAAAAAAAAAATATATATATATATATATATTGGTTCTTGGGGCTAGAGAGATGGCTCAGTGGTTAAGAACACTAGCTGGCCTTCCAAAGGTCCTGAGTTCAATTTCCCACAATCACATAATGGCTCATAACCATCTGTAATGAGATCTGGTACCTTCTTCTGACCTGCAAGGATACATGCAGTCTGAACACTGTATACGTAAGAAATAAATACATGGTTTTTTTTGGTTTTTCAAGACAGGGTTTCTCTGTATTGTTTTGGAGGCTGTCCTGGAACTCACTCTGTAGACAATTCATCTTTTTTTAAAAAGACTTTTTGGTTCCTGTTTGTTTGTTTATTTGTTTGTTTTTCAAGACAGGGTTTTTCTGTGTAACAGACTTGGCTGTCCTGGAACCCCCATCTGTAGACCAGGCTGTCCTCAAACTCAGAGATTTGCTTGCCTCTGCTTCCCAAGTGCCGGGATTAAAGGTGTGCAGCAGGACCCCCAGTTTCCATAAGAATTTTTAATGATAATAAATGCATGCCAAGTTATCAAAAGATAAATCAGCACACTGAACTAAATATGAGCTTGTAAAGAGCACACACAGCCCACACTCAACCCCAGGTAAAGCTATGGTGGTAACCAAGAAATCCTGGCACCTACCATCAGTCTTCTGCACGCTATTGAAATGACTCGCGCATAACATCAGCATGATGTCCAGGGTGGCATGCCAAAGTCCAAGGTGGTGTCATTCTCTGTAAATGTTCCCTGGGTCTATTCCATAAGCCAGGCTGACGTTGTAAGTGGGGTGAGCTGGCTGCACCCTGGAAGTTCCCAGCATCCAAAGGACAGACACTGTCACACCAGACTGAACAAAGAACATACATCCAGGCTACAGGAGGAGCTGTGCACAGGATACACGCTCTGTAGAGCTTAGTGTTTCCAGCGCAGATATCAACTAAAGTCCAGACTTTACTAGATTTGGCCCCTCAAAATGACACCACCTATACCTACTATATTAGCCTTGGGTTTCCTGTAGCCTGGGCCAGCATAAAAAATGCTATGTAGCTGAGGATGACCTTGAACTTCTGGCCCTCCTGCTTTCACCTCCTGAGTGTTAGATTACAGGCAGGTGGTGGCACCACACCCGGTTTTATGTAGTACATAGGATGGAAGCCAGGGCTTCACAAATGCTTGGCAGATGCTCTACCACTGAGCCACATCTCAATCCCGTATCAGTTACTTTTCTCGTATTTGTGATAAAATCCCCGACGGAAGCAACTTAGGGGAAGAAAGGTTTATCCGTGTTTTCTGGCTTAAGGGGATACATCTTGTCACAGAGGGGAGGTGTGGAAGCTGGGCTGCTTGCTACCTCTGATGGCAGGAGCTCTCTAAATAGCTTGCCACATCTGCAATAATCAGGAAGCAATGAGAGGCTGGAGCCAGAAGTCAGTAGGCCAGGCAATAACCCTCGAAGATCACCTGTCAGCATCCTACTTCCTCCAGCCGAGTGCCACCTCCAATGTTCCTGTAACCTTCTGTGATTGTGCGGTAAAAAAGTTAAATATGACATATGGTAAAGTGACCAACCTAGGCCATTATGGAAAGGAAGTAATACATTGATGTGTGCATAAGAGGTGTGTGTGTGTGTGTGTGTGTGTGTGTGTAAGACAGGGTCCCACCCCGTAGCCATTCATAGTCTCAAACTCAATATGTAGCCCAACTGGCTTTAAACTCACAGCAATCCTCCTGTCTCCATGTTTCAGGTATTACAATTACAGGCATGAACCATGGTGCTCAGCTTTTTTGTTCTTTGGGGGAGATGGAAAGTGTGTGTGTGTGTGTGTGTGTGTGTGTGTGTGTGTGTGTGTGTGTGTCTGTGTGTGTCTGTGTGTGTAGGTACCAGTGTGGAGGTCAGAGACTCCATCAGGTGTCTTCTTCAGTCAGTCACTCTCCGTCTTATATTTTGCTTTTAGCACCCTCCCCTTCTGCACGCACAGACAGATCCCTTCCTCTCGCCCCAAAGTTCTCGGACACTGAAAGCTCTCTGGTAATATCAGGGCTTCCCTTCATCTGAGCTCCAGGGACTAAGAACACAGAGAATTTGCTCAGCTGAGTGAGAACTACTTTGCTCAAGAGCCAAGTATTTTAGTAATCAATCAGTCAGTCAGAAAGAGAGAGAGAGATGTCTTCTCAAACACATGGTGATGCTACCCCAGAGCACTTGGGGGCTGGCTCCTCACCAAGAGCACATGGGCGGGTGAGAAACCCCCTCTTCCCTACCGCCTGGGTCCCAGTCTCAGTTTTACAGTTTCAGCTGTGTTTAATCCTTGAGTGTCACATTTTCCATTTGTCAATCTGAGCAATGAGGAAATTCTGTTAAGTGGCGGCATCTGTGTGTGCATCAGCAAGCATCTGAGCCAGGGACTCGAGGAAACATCTAGAAGGAAGTCATGGACATCAGGACTAGCTTTAAGGTCAGCCTGGCTGTAGAGGAGCGGTAACCCACATGGTGAACAATGAGTACATAGGAAGGGTGGGGTGGGGGGGGCTGAGATACAAATGGAGGGGACGGTTGAGTGCAACTCTTGGTATTTATTGCTATTGTTACAAGAAGGGGATGATCCAGTGTGTGGTGAGATCAGATGAGGTGATCAGTTGGAGTCAGCAGAGGCTGAACCAGGAGAAGTGAGTCAGTGGGCTGGAGTTTGCCACTAGATGATAGCCACCAGACAAGCTGGCCAGGGCATGTACCTGAGGGTTCTGAGAGTACTGCTATCAAATCTCAAGGATTTAACTGATTGTTCTGGAGAATGTCAGGTGGACCAGAGAAAGATGGCTCAGTGGTTAAGAGTGCTTGCTGCTTTTCCAGGTGCCCAAGTTTGGTTCTTACACATCGGGAAGCTTATAGCCAACTGTAACTCCAGCTCCAGAAGACTCAAAGTCCTCTTCTAGCCTCTGTGGACATACACACACATGGTATACACTCATACAGACACAAAGACACAGACAGACAGACAGACACACACACACACACTTTAAAGAGAACACCAGGAATTAATTCAGACACATGTTGCCTGTATAACACCCAACATTTGGCAGGCAGGGCCAAGGGGATCTCCAATTGAAAACCAGCCTGCCCTACACAGCAAGATCCTATCAATTTATTATTTTGATGTGGTAAGACACTTGGCAGAGACTACTTAAGGGAAGATTTTATTTGGCTCACAGTCTCAGGGCACACAGTCCATAATGGTCAGAAAGGCATGTGGCTAGGGCACCTCCATCTGTGGCAGCATCAGCTTGTGGTATAGCTTGTTCACATCTTGGAGGATCAAGAGGCAGACAGATCCACCTGGAACCAGAGGTGGATCTCACCTTTGAGGCCTACCCCCAATGACACACTTGTACTAGCTAGACTACAATATCTCAGAATAGCACTACCAGCTGGGGACCAAGTACCAAAACATGAGCCTATGGGGGGGGCACTTTATATTCAAACCATAATACACAAAATGAGGCAGAAACTAGAAATTATAGATTTGTGTGTGAAGGTTCCTGGTTTGTTTTGACTATTAAAAACCTCTTTAGAATTTTTGAGATAATAATATAATTGCATTTCTCTTCCCTTTCCTCCCTCAAAAATCTCCCATATGCCCTTCCCCATTCTCCTTCAAATTTATCCCCCTCCTCTTTTTTAGAGATTTCAATTTTTTGATATGTATACAAATTCTGCCTCTATGTACGCCTGCATGACAGAAGAGGGCACCAGATCTCATCATAGATGGTTGTGAGCCACCATGTGGTTGCTGGGAATTGAACTCAGAACCTCTGGAAGAGCAGCCAGTGCTCTTAATCTCTGAGCCATCTCTCCCACCCAATGGTCCCCTTTTTATTAATTGTTACTGCATGCATATACGTGAATGTACATATACATTCCTAGATATAAACCTGTTCAGTCTGTATAATGTTACCTGTATGTATGTTTTCAGGGCTGACTGTTTGACACTGGGTGACCAAATTTGTGCTCTTCCCTGGGAAGCTTACCTCTCCCGATCTCCTCAGTTGCCTATAGTTCTTTTTGTAGGGTTGTGGCCTCAATAACTTTTCCCCAACCAGTTTGTCATGTTCATTGGTGTCAATCTCATTCAGCTCATGTTTATGCAATCATGCTGGTGAGACTCTATGAGTATAGCCTCTGATATTACTAGGAGACACAGTAATATCCTCTGGCTCTTTCAAACTCTCTTCCCCCTCTCCACAATGTTCCCTGAACCTTAGGTCCGGGAGTTGTCTTGTAGGTGTATTCCCTGGAACTGAGCTCCCCAGTTCTTCATTTTGATTGGTTGTGGACCTTGTAATTAAAATCATGCCAGTCAAAAACAAAACAAAAAACACAGCTGGCCAGATTCTAGGCCATGTGGAGCTGCCAATTTCAGAAAGAGTTTCTGAGTTGGTGGGCACAGCCCACTCTGGAGTCCTATAAAACCCACTCCAGGGTCCTGCAAAGCCCCCTCTGGGGTCCTATAAAACCCACTCCAGGGTCCTGCAAGGCCCACTCTGGGGTCCTGTTCTGCCAGTGAAGCCTCCTACAGCATTTAGTCAACTTCAGATTCACCTGGAACTATGGCGGTCCATTAAAAACAAAGTGCTGGGTAAGATTTGAATTTCAACCAATAAATACGTTCTCAGTATAAATACATTATTATATTTATTAGATAAATGTATTCCAGTGATCATACTTTTATCCTCCAAAAATTGTTTAGCTTTATATGAAATTTAATTCCAATTTATCTAGGCATCCAGTATTATTACTGTTTTGGGGAAGGGTTCATACCATAGCACACATATAGACAGCAGAGGACAGTTTTGTGGTATTGACTCTCTCCCTCCGCCTTCATGGGGTTGGGATTGAACTCACATCTCCAGACATGCACAGCAAGCACTTTCCCCACTGAGCCGACTCACCACCTCATCTTGCTTCTTTATTGATTGAATTTCTAGAACCTTAACCACCAGGCTCCAATGGGCTGCTGGCTCCTCTCATCGAGGCAGGATCCCCCTTCGGGAACACAGACTTAGTCCATGATACAGAAGGCAGCTCACATCTCTGAACATCTAGTGGGTGTGTCCAAACTTTTGGGAGATCAGTAGGCTACATCGGTCCTAGAGGAGAGAGAGGGTAAAGCCCTATCCTAAGTAGGTCTGACAAAGAGGCTTTCAGTCAGTTCTCTGCCCAGACAGACTGGCTTTGTTCCCACCTGGGTAGGAGTGAAGACAGTCTGAAGATTCACTTGTGCCCCTCCTTTGGGTTAGAGAAAATGCTAACCTTCCCCCACGTGGCCAGCATTACCCTCCTGAAAGTGCAAACTCCAGCAAGGTGCCTCAGGGTTAATTACCACAGCAGAGGCAATCATACTGTTCTGCATCAGCAATGAGTGCCTGCCTGTCCTTCCTGCAGGAACCAATCTAGTGAAGCCTGCTGGCCCCACTGCTTCCAGATGGAGGGAGTTACAGGCTGCCTCCCCGCCCCCACCGATGACGCTTGCTCCCCTAAGTGATTGATCCTCCATCTGATCCCCCCATCCCACCCCCACCCCCCGCCCAGTGACTCAGCTGTCTTGAAGCACCTGTAACAATCTGATTACCCTGTTCGTCTGTACTGCACCCATCTCATATACAGAACCTCCTACCCTCCTACCGTCCCCTCCTGGTAGAAGCTGCAGCAGCAACAGCATGGGCCCTACGTGAGGCCTGGCATTCGGTGTGGCTCTCGGAAAAGTCCCATTCACGTATGGTTAACTCTCCAACCACTGGTTAAGCCACTTTTCTCAATGTGAAATAAACAAACAAACACTGCAGCCAAGTGCTCCACGAGCACCGTTTGAAACAGAATGCTTAGTAAAGCCATCTTCTGGTACACACAGAATGATTCCTGGAGGGGAGGAGTTGGGACTTGGGGAGATGGCTTAGCACATAAAGACATCTGCTGTCAGGGCTGGAAACCCGTTCTCAGGACTCACGTGGTGGAAGGGGAAAACCGACTCTCAGAAGCTGTCCTCTGACCTCCCCTTCACCTTGTCACAACCGGTCTGGTCAGTGGTTGACATCCTTTGACGGGAACAGAAGGAACCTCCCTTGCCCAGGCAAGGGAGGACATCCCAAAACAAGGACAAAATCCTGTCTTATAACCTCAAGAGGTGGAATAGCCTGAAGCCAGGAGGTGCAAAACCACAACACACCTGAAGACATTCAGGAAGGAGGCCTTCAAACACCCAGAAACCCACCTTTCATGTATGGGCTTATGGACTCTCGCTGCTAAACCTGCTTGCTTCCTGAGATCTAATTCAGAAAGAGTGACATTTTCTTTCCTGTTCTGCCTAAGCCCGCCTGCCCTCTTCCCCTGCCCTCTCTCCCCCTCCCCCTCTGCACAGCAGCTGCTTGAAGACTTGCATTGCCTAACCCGCCCGCTTTCCTGACCTCAGACTCAAAAAAGCCCAAATTTCGGCTTTTTCTTCTTCTCCTAGGGGCAGCTGCTGGTCCTGCTGGGTTTCTGCCTATAATGTCAATAAAAATGTTTTTGAGATTTCTCTTGAATCCATTTTAAATTCTTTTATCTGTGTGACAACAAACCAAGACAGAAACCTTGAGTTACAAATCTGGTTACAGGAGACACAGTGACCCCGAGTGGGTCATCTGTGAAGGGGTGGGTGGGGCGGGGCGGGGCTGCGAATAGTTTACTGCAGCAACTGCAGTGGACGGAGCGAGACTGCGTGGCCTTCAGGCCTGAGGACTCGGCCTCCGTTCCCAGGTTGTACAGGGTTTGAGGGTTCCCTAGTTGTTTGTACACCTGTGTGAGTAACAGGGCACTGGCTCCTTCCCATAAAAAAAAAAGCCTGTAAGCCACACACTGATATGCAAATGGGTGTTTACTCAGGTGGGGCACCTTGTGAGACAGACCCTGGAAGAGTCCCACTCTTTAGGTCACTTAATGCCAAGGTTCCAACTTCTCTGAGCCACTCAAAGGCCTTTAAAGAAACTTCTGGGTCTGAACCCCCCCAGTACAACACACACACACACACACACACACACACACACACAAAATTAATTGGAAAAAATGGTCAGAGAAAAGGAGAAGGAGGAAGAGAGAGAGAATGAATTAGTTCTGGGTTCAGTGTCTAGCTAGCATCACTAGCTAGATAACACAAATAATTCTTAGAAAACAAACCTTTCACTAAGTCTTTTCAGCACAAACTATTATTATGTTTGCATTAGTAGGCATGAACTATTGTTGCATTTTTATTTGTTTTTTGTTTTTGTTTTTTCAATACTGGATAGTGAATGTAGGGTCTTGCATATGCTAGGCAAGCCCTCCACCACTGAGCTATATCCCCAGCCCTTTTTCTAAAATCTGAATTTCAACACAGGGTCTCACCAAGTTGCCCAGACAGAACACAGAATTTACAAATCCACCTGAGTTGCGGGAGATTACAGACATGTGCCATCGGGCAAGGTACTGAGCCTTGCACCTAGGCAGCACCTGTCTTCCCGGGAGGAGCCCCTTGGTGCTTTATACTTGTAAAACTTGTAAACTAAGCACTTGCTATCAACTGATGGCCAGCTGGATGAAGACACACTTCCTCTAGGAAGGGCACTGGGCAGCCCCTGCGTGCTCACATTGCGCTCAGCACTGCCCGGGCTTGCTTACAATCTTCTGTTTGCTTTGCACCCGGACTTAGCACAGTACCTGCCTTGGGAGGGGCTGAGTGACACTTGATGTGGGAGGCAGGTGAGTGGGCAGGAGAGTAAAATTCAGCCCTAGATAAAGCAAAGGTAGTGACTACAGGAGCTTAAGGAGTTGACACACCATCAGCCATACCGTGACTTCAACAGCCATACCCAGGCCTCCTAGCATCGGGGATCCTGGTACTTTACAATGCATTCCCAAGTCCCTCCCACAACCACCCTGCAGCTGCTGACAGGTGCACTGGGCCAAAATAGAGCTCACTCTAAAGCCTCATAACATGTCCTACCTGAGACATCACCAAATCAACATTCCAGAAGGAAGGGACATAGAAAAATCTATCTTTGACTATGACCCATGAAGGACACAGTGTTTGTATGTATGTGTTTGTGCTCCTGAAGACAGATGCACATGTGTGCATACGTGTATGTGTATGCCCAAGGAGGCCAATGATCAACCTTGGATGTCATTCCTCAGGTGCCATCCACCTGGTTTTTTGAGACAGGGTCTCTCGATAGTGTGGAACTCACTAAGGCTAGGCTAGGCCAGCTCGTGAGGCCCAGGAATGTGCCTATCTCCACCTCCCCAGCGCTGAGATTACAACGCCACTGTTTCTGGCTATCCCGTCCCCACATCTGTGGGTTCTTGTGGACCAAGCTCTGGTCCTTGGACTTTTGTGGCAAGCACTTGCCCAATGAGTGAACTGGCTCTGCAAACCTTGGAGTTTATAAACAATGTGTGCACACCCAGGGCCCTACTGACTCGATATACACGTGTCACTCACCTGCATGTGGCTGAGACCAAGCACACCAGTGAGTTTGAGAAAGCCTGAAGTCCCAGAAGGCAGCTGTGTTGCTATCTGGCTCAGTAGGTCTCATTTCCTTCAGTGAAATGAAACTCAAGGGGTCAGTGCTAGCATATGACACGACCAATTATCAAGGTCTTTCCACCACAAATAGGGAAATAAGAGAGCTGCCTGGATGTGGGAGAGCCCCAGGGGTCCTGTCTGCTGTTTCTCTTTAGGTGTTATAAGCTGTGAAGAAGTCCCTGAAAACCAGGTCCCTTTTGACTTACCTTAGATATCCCAGGGCTAACTTCAAGGCACTTATTGAGTACCTACCACGTGCTATGAACTGCACTAGAAATTGCTCTGCATTAAAGCAGGTCTTCCCCTTAGGATGCTTTCATACATAATATGAAAAGATCAGGACAAGTACAGTAGCCTCTGGCCCTCACCGGTGTCATCACTCACCGCTACTAACTCAGCCATGATCTCATGAAAAACACAAGAAATAAACAACACTAATGTAACATGATGAAATCTCTACCCACCCCACATCACCACAATTAGGAGGTGAATTCTACCCTTGTTTGGGGGCATATATGCTATTCATCCATCACTGAGCACCCAATTCTACAATCACACAGACTGTCTTCATGTTGAGATGTTTAAATACTCAAGTAGACTTTATCATAGGCATGTATGGACAAGCTGTGTGTGATATAGACAGGGTTCAGTACTATCAAAATTCACGAAAACATTGTAACTAAACTGATTTTAAAAAGGAAAAAAAGGCTCTCTTTCCGCGCTATTGCAAACACCATCAAACTCCAGAGCCGGCGCAGAAGCAGCTCCCACCACATGCAGCCAAGTGAAGGTGGTTTTGGAGACAGATATTTGAGATCTTTTTAAGAATTTCAATCCTAGATGATCAAGAGGTAAGGAGACATAAACACATTCAGGGTTTTAAAGACTCGGGAAGCATCCAAGCTTGATAGCAAATGCCTTTAATCTCAGCACTTGGGAGGCAGAGGCAGGTGGTTCTCTGAGATGGAGGCCAGCCTGGTCAACAGAGCAAGTTCCAAGACAGCCATGGCTACACACAGAGAAACTCTGTCTCAAAAGAAAAGAAAAAGAAAAGATTTGGCAATCAAACTGTTCATCTGACCTACTAGAGAATTACAGAAGTATCAGTTGGCAGGTTGAATCCAACATGGGGAGAGGGGTGAACATGAGGCGATGGGTGTGCTTTTAACCATCAGTTCCCAGGGATATGACACCCTCTTCTGGCCTCTGTGGGTAATACGTATGCACAGTGCACATATATGCAGGAAATGTAACACATAAAAATCAAAGATCGAAAGTAAATGTTGAAGAGGACATAAACTGTGTCCATCCAACACCCACCTGCAAAGTGAAGCAGACACACTACCCTAAGTGGAGGAGCTGAACTCAGGTCCCACCAACCTGGGCTTGTGCTTGGGACCAATTACAGAAAGGTGACAGGGCGCTGGGCAGCATAAATGATGCAGCCCATGGGAGAACAATGCTTAGCCTAGATGTCTGTGGAGAACGGTCCAGTCTATACACACACACACACACACACACACACACACACACACACACACACACACACACGGCACTTGTGCAGAAGACAGAGCTAGAAAGGCGGGAGGGAGCGGCAGGAGCCCCAGGATGAAACGTGAAAGACACCAGCTTGCAGAGGAGTAGTGGAAGTCTTTCCTTGCCTGAACTTCTAACAGCACACAAAAGAAAAGCCTGCAGTATACAAACGTGGAGAATTAGGTGCTATGTAAACAACCTAAAAGGGTCAGAGGGTGTAAGGCCCAGCGCTTTCTGGGCTCTTTTTTTTTTTTTTTTTTTTTTTTTTTGGTTTTTCGAGACAGGGTTTCTCTGCGGCTTTGGAGACTGTCCTGGAACTCACTTTGTAGACCAGGCTGGCCTCAAACTCACAGAGATCCGCCTGCCTCTGCCTCCCAAGTGCTGGGATTAAAGGCATGCGCCATCAACGCCCGGCTCTGGGCTCTTTCTTCAGCTCACCATCCTACTCCCAATCATTTATTTTCTTTCTTCCTTCCTTTCTTTCTACTTTTATTTTAATTTTTTGAAGCAATGTCTCACTGTGTAACTTCAGCTAGCCTGGAACTCACTATGTAGAGCAGGCTAGTCTCAAACTCACAGAGATCTGCCTGCTTCTGCCTTTCTTTCTTTTAAAGAAAAACAAAATTCTTGTAAGATTTGTTTGTATGTGTACCTGTGCACTATGTGCATGCAGTGTCCACAGAGGCCAGAAGAGGGCACCAGTTACCCTGGAACTAGAGTCACAGATGGTTGTGAGCTGCCCTGCGGGTGTTAGAAATCAAACCCTAGGGCTGGAGACATGGTTCAGCCGTTAAAGGCTAGGCTCACAACCAAAGCATAAGAAATCAAACCCTGGTCCTCTGGAGAG